CCGCGCGGGGTTAGTACCGGGGCCGCGGGGCGGGGCCGCGGGAGCGACGCGTGGCGCAGCCAATCGCCGCCCCCGGTCTCGGGGTTCGCTGGGGAGGCCCGGGCGGCTGGAGCACGCGGGGCGCGCGGGGACCAGGGGCCAGGCCCCGCCCTGGCCCGCCGGGATGTCAGCGTCCGAGGCCCCAGCGCGGTCTGGGGGAGTGCAGAGCAGCCGCTGCCACCCGCACAGAAATTGGTTTCCGGCGTCCCGGGCGCGCCTCCCTCGCCCTCCCTTGGGCAGCAGCCGAGCCACCCCAGCTCCAGCTACCGCAGCAGGGGACCTGCATCCCCAGCTGGGTGACACCGCCCCGAACCGGTCCCTCGGCCCCTCTACCCTGCAAATCTTTTGCCCCCAATGTTTCCACCCCACGTGGGATTGCACAAGGCCAGCTAGCAGCCTGTGGGGCTCCAAGCCCCACGCGTGGGGTTTCGATCCTCGCCTCGGTGGCTTCTGTGTCAACCTACGAGGCAGACAGAATGGGGGTCCCTCACGGGTCCGCAGTGGGTTGAGGCCCACCACCTGGTTCCTGTCTGCTCAAAACTAGTTTTAGGATTGCATAGGCCTCGGGGCATCGTTCTCCGTCCTGCAGGCCTGTGGCTCTTTGAAAAACATGGCGCGGCCTGACACACGCGTGCTTTTTGGAGTCAATCCCCATGCTTGAAGCCACCGCCCTGCGTGTGGACGTGGACACGGGTCCGTGGCAGGAAGAAAGCTACATATGGTAGGCAAAGTCAAAGGCCGGATCACTTTGTCCTTATGGATGGAAGGGGCCCTCCCGCGAGTCCACGTCTTCTCTGACCTCGTGTGCTCCCGCCACAGATCGGCGGTGGGCACTGCAGGCAACTGGTCCCGGAGTCGTTTCGGTCACCCAGGCTGTGTGGCTCAGTGGCTCCTGGACACCTCTGCCAGCAACTCTTCTCTCTCCTGCCTCCTAGGCCTGGCGGATGCGCACACAGACCGGCCGCAACGGGTAGGGTAGGGGAGAGACTCGATGAAGCTCGGGTCCCTGGGAATCACTATCGCCGGGAATCATCTCCCAGGGCTGCTCCCTGAGCTAGGAGGGGAACGAATGCCTTCGAGGCTCTCGGTGCCTTGGGGATTCGGCTGTGCTTTCGTTGCCTCTGGCATGGAGGGGTGTACAACGAAGGAAAGAAACAACCCAGGGTCCCCGACGGCTGCGGCAAGACCTGCTTCGAACCTCTGTCCTTTCCTAGCCTCCAAACGAAATCAGGCCCCGAGTGCACCGCAGCAGGGATGGGCTGTGCCCCAAACCCGATCAGCAGGGGAGCTGACCCGCGCCTCTCTCTGGGCCTCCTGCCAGGTCCCCAGGCCATCAGGGAAGCAAGGACAGTGAGGGACCCTTTCTGGACCTTCGCAGAGAACCTGCATCTCAGAGCTGTCCATCGTGAAGCCCTCGGAAGCGGCAGGAGCTACAGGACTAGAGGAAGAGGGAGACGGACCTGTAGCCTTGGCGCGCGCCCCCTCTGAAGGCTTCCAGGGAAAGGCCCCCTGCTCACCACCAGGTAGGGCCCTGGGTCGACGGACCACCCCTTGTGCCCAGGAGCGACTGTGGGCCAGGAGCGACTGCTTCTAGGGTGTGCAAATTCGATTTCTCTAACGATTTCAGTTTGGACCCTCCTCCGGATTTCTCCCTCTGACCCTACAGCGATTTAACAAACGAGTTTCCAGAGAATGAGGCTGTTGGGAGACCTAGCTTCTGATCCAGGACCCCAGCGCATCTCCAAGCCTCGAGAGGCAGGCTCGCTGTGGGCCCCAGAACCACGGAATGGGATGGTGGCTCTTGGAACCGCAACCCGAGGTCCCGGGCCCGCCGGGTCGCCGGGGCAGAGGCAGAGACCTAAGCCGCCGCTAGTTGGCGATGGCGCCCTGCTGGCTGCAGAGTTGCCTTGCCTGGCGGTGCACACAGATGTGAGCCAGCTGCGGTCCCCCTGCAGCGAGGCTGCCTGCGAAGAGCTGCTTTTTGGACAGAGTGCGTGTCTGATTCCTCTCTACCTCTGCGGCCACGTATCGGATAATCGGATAGCGATGGTGTCAGGCCGAGGATCGCCTGACACCAACAGAACTTTCCACCAGAAACACACAAAATTTCTCTAGTCCCATTGGGGTGGAGGGGTAGGGCTCGAGGCACAGAATTTCGTTTTCAGTTTGGTCCAGTACCCATCCTGCTTCTGTCTGCTCTGGAACTGAGAAGCCAAGAGGAATCTCTTGTGTGTCCATTTTCAGACCAGGAGAGCACCTGCTACCCAAGGGCCACACCACACCCTCTCCCTTTCCTGTGGTGTATACATAGCTCTCTCTCTCTCTCTCTCTCTCTCTCTCTCTCTCTCTCTCTCTTATGGTGTATGCATAGCTCTCTCTCTCTCTCTCTCTCTCTCTCTCTCTCTCGACCAACAACCTGATTTCTCCCAAAAGCCCCCACCTAAGAACACCTCAGTGTGTCTTTTGGACCAGGAAGCAGAGATCAAAGCACTCCCCTCACTCACATGTCCAGAGCTGGGTAATTGGACCAGCCTGGGGTATCAGCAGTGATCTTCCCTCCTGAAAGAGGCACCCAACTAAAACAGTGTTCTAATGATTTTTCTTTTTCTTTTCTTTTTTTTGAGACAGGGTCTCCTTGTAGCTCCAGCTGGCCTGGAACTCACTACGGAAATCAGCCTGGTCTCTGCCTCCCGAGTGCTGGGATTAAAAGCCTGCGCCACCATGCCTGGCTTCTAATGTATTCTTGGCTGTAGGGTGCTGCCCTTGTCTTCAGAAAGGTCAAAGTTAGGAGAGTGGGTCTGATTCCTTGAGAATCCCAGTGCCTGGGGAGGGTGGGGCTCCCCAACTCCAGTGAAAGGCAGGTGTGCTTTGGAACACCTGCTAAAGAGCTCTGCTGTGGTATATCCCTAGGTCTGTCTTCCTCCATCACTCTGGTCCAGGGGTCTCTCTCTCTCTCTCTGCCTTCCTTTCACCTGTACATCTTTCCCTCACCTGGGATAGTGTGTAATGTGCTTGGCACAGACCTGGCACACAGGGAATGTCCCATCATGCCAGCTCTCATGTTTGCTATGAACAAAGAGCACCCATTGGTTATCGCACGCATGTGCCTGTGCACGCACACAAAGAGTGGCAAGCGTCTTCCCCTGTGTGGGTCTCACACCCCCAGCCATGAAACGTCTGCTTCTTGTTCTCACATGACTTTCCAGGGCTCAAAGCCCATGCCATGGCTGTCCTGCCCCTAGGCTGGCCTCAGAGCTGCTGGGGTATAAGGATTATATGGGACTTGCCTCTAGACAGAGTCAGCATTGCAAGTTTCCCGGGAGACCTTCAAGATCTTCCAGATCTTGATCTTTTGGAGTCCTACAGGCTTCCAGATGCTCCCATTACCCTCCCACAGGCAGCCATGTCCTAAGCAGCATTGTGCCTCTGAGTAGACACTGTAACTCTTTCCCTCCCCTCTCCCTTCCCAGAGGACCTTCATCCCAGGTCTCCTAGAATCTCTGACCTGCAGGCACTGGGGACTCTTCCAGAAACAAAAGTTCTCCATTCTGGTCCAGGGACCCATCTGAGGGGTCCACAGTGGATCCCACCACCTGCCTGGTCTCTGGAACTCTCTGTAGACTTTTCTGTCCCTTCCTGAATCCAGGCTTCCTCTTCTATCAAAGAAGGTCTGACTAACACTTTTTTTCCTTGGAGGATTACCAATTCCCTGCTGGGAGAGGAAGGGCATTGAGCCTCTGACAGCAGAGAAAGAAAGAAGAAAGAAAGAAAGAAAGAAAGAAAGAAAGAAAGAAA